ATTATTAAAAATAAGAATTTAAATAAATTTATCTACAAATATAAGAGAAGAAGAAGAAGCTATTCCCATTGCCCAATCGCTATGTGCATGCAAACTAAGTTGGTTCCTGATGTGCCATGCCTCATAGAATTCTTATTTCAAGTCCCATTTAAAGTCTATATATTTCTATCTATATTATTGTCATTAACCTAAGTTTAATTTCAAGTCCCATTTGTATTGGCTATACTTTTTTACAGTACCTCAAAAATATATACACTGTAGTGTATAAACAAAAATTTCTCTTTACCAAAAGATACTCATATAATTAGGATTCTATAATCAGAAGAGGGATATATTTTATTGAATGAAATATGATATATTCCATTTCAATTTCGTATTTATTTACACTGATCAACAAATAGAAACGCAGACATTTTACAAAGCCAATATACTCTTTTAACTATTTGAACGGGTAAAGATGTATAAAAAAAAGAACTTGAACACGTAAAAAATATAAACTGTTTATTTATGGGTCACCTTACCCCCAGCTGGGCACACACACATGCACTTAGGGTCTGCTTTCACCAGTTTAGAAAAAAATAAAAAAAAGGGTTGCCACCCGTTATCATCATCATGGCATGGCATATGAGCTCTGGTATCATGTGTGTGTCTGTGCAAATGCAAACACAAGTGCAAATCTCGAGGGAACATTTGATTGAATTCAGACAGTTAACCGCCTCTAATGCGCATTTCTTGGCTTCGTGTATTTGATTTTTTGTTCGTTTCGGGAATCCATAATCCCCATTGGTTATCTGCGTAAAAATATCAAATTTTTTAAAACCATCTTCAGGGCAGTTGATTTAGCAAATGCTATTTGTTTTTTTTTCTATGGCTATGATTGATATTATTATTGATGCTATTGATTGATGGAGTTTAAAATCTGTGCGGGGTTTTAGAAAATTAAAAAATCAGCTTAGCAACTGCCCTGTAATACTCTAGTATTTGCATTGAACAGTAGCGGGCGGACTTTTTATTCTTATTATTATTTTTTTCACTCCTCATCTCCCTCTCTCTCCTTTGCTTTCTGTTATCCTGCCCCGAAGGCCTTTTATCAGCCGCCACGCGACATTTTTCCGCATCGATTGTGCGTTTGGTTTTTGGCGGAGTTGGAAGCAGATGAACGAGGCGGGCATTGTCTGCCAACTTGCTTTGATCTATGCCATCTACTTACGGCTCTATGCAATTTGAATACCGCAGCGAAGGTGGCAGACCATTGTTAATGGCATATGAATAAATGCTGTGCAAGTTATTAGCATTGATGAAAGTAGAATTAAGCAGCGATGAACTTGAATTCAGAGATTTAGCAATCAATGGAGTACTGAGTCTACTTAAAGGCCATATTTAGCAATTGAGATTTAGGAAAGGAGGTATAATCAGTTTTGAGAGATTTATTAAAAACGACCAATCGTATATTGAATTACATTAACTAACCGAGCAACTTGGCATAAAGCTTATAGTATGACTAAAGTTAGACTAAATCAGTTTAAAGTCAACAGCTGTAAGGCTATGCAGCCTAAAGAACTTTAAAAACAAAATTTTTATTAATATTAATTGAAATAAAAAGAGGACATCAGTAAGTGATCTATCTGCTAATTATATTGATATAGATAATGGAAAGACTTGTTAGGTGAGAGATTTTGTGATTTCGTGATCTTTTTTGATGCCCCTATTTTGATTTAAATAATTAATTAATGTTATAAATAATTATATTAAAATATTTG